AATTAAATAAATAAATAAATGGTTCAAAAAGCATTCGATTCCTATTGATAGGGAGACTGAAGAAAATAGAAGTCGAGTTTTTGAGAGAGACCAAGCACCCAATTTGAATGATCCAAAAATCATTCAATTCGTAATAGCGAGAAATGGTGATTAGTTTTAGGCAAAGCAGATCCAGCCGTTTTGTAGATACCGAGCTAATGTGCGATAAATGGCAGTTTTGAGAGAAAATAAGTATCCGATTTGAAGGATTCAAAAACTTTTTGCTTGTGTTGACGAAACGATTGCTTTTGGATAAAAAAATAATTTCCAAAAAAAAATTTTTTGAATTTCAAAAATAAATCGAATTTTATTTTTTTTAGCTAAAGTTCTAAAGCTTATCTTTATATGTACTTCAAATAAATATTTTAAACTTGCAGTTCAATATATATATATATATTTTCTTATAAATATTAGACATGTCCATTTGAATTCGATCGATTAAGTTTTATTTATTTAGATTTCTGTAAATAATATAAAGTTACGGTATTTGAAAAAACAATCTGTTTGAAAACATTTAAAATTTCTCGAATATTTTTATTACGATACAGAAAGTTCCAGCAATTATTAGCCTTAAGGCACGATGCCATTCACCACTAGTTCAATTTATTTCATTTAAGTTTTATTTAATTCCTATGACCACGTTTTTCGAGGCCAAACGTAAATTTCGGGAAATTAGGGTTTGCGAAAACCCTAGTTTTGATTCAATCAAAAAACTTTAATGACCTAGGCCGTAATACGAGTATAGTCTAACTATTTCATGAGCAGATTAGATTTCGATTCATTAGATTTGTGTTGTAATACATGCGTATACATAACTACCAAATCTAAGGAATCTTTTACTAAAAATAATCTATATGGTTCGATATCTTTCAAATAATTATAATATGTGTTAGACATTAAAATAATTTGTTTAACACATATGCTTCCGCTAGATTCTGATTAGAATCGCTCAAATTTGCAGCAAAACTCCAATCGGATGATTTTTTTATCATTCAACAATTTATCGTAGGCCTACAATATGTTAGTATATTATTTTCAACTGCACAATATATCGTTAAACAAAGTATTAATTACGAAGAAACAATCCGACCGATCCTCACCAAAAACTAATAAACGCGATTCCCAACCAATTGTTCCGAACAGTTTCAAATTTTTAAAATAGATTCAAAACTCTGATCTAGAACGTGTACGAAAAATTTTACACTGCTCTGCTAATTACATAAAAACGGCTTGGCCGATCGTCGCACAAAATTAACAAACGCTAGTCCTTAACGAGCTATATCGAATGACTTTAAAATCGGACCAGACGTTTTTCAGACTTTTAAAATCGGACCAGACGTTTTTCAGCAAACGTCAAAATCGGCTCATGCACACCACAATTTTCCAAATTGATTCATTCGATTCAAAATGACTTAAAACGTAGAAAAACATAAGACTAGCAAATCGTATTTTTTCGCGAAAATAAACTTCCCTTTGGGAAGTTAGTAATTGAAAATTTGACGACGCTTTCTGAAATGCCTATGTAATGCCTAATGCTAATATTATTTTTTTCTTATTTCAACTTTAAAAATGTAAACTAATAACTGTGCTAAATTTAAAACACAACCCTAAGAGCGATTTTTTAACGGCCTGTAGTGACTGCTGGCCGACAGTGGGCAGCCCATGATCAGCCAGCAGTGATATACTTTTAGCATTAAAGAATGGATTTAGTGTAAATACACGAAAATAAATCGAATAGAGCGTTTGTATAGATTAAGTATAATATAAGTAATAATTATTATTACTTTTAGTTTTTACCTAAAACATATGTGATCATTATAAAATTCTCGAAATGCGTTGATGCTCTGTGACGTCATTTTTGCGGGCATGATCGTAGTGACGACTGTCCCACAGTCATTGCTGGCAAATGCTGCATAGGAAATAGATCTATAAAATAGTTACAATTTCAACTTGTAATTAAAAAATTCTATTTTTCCAAATAAAGCGGCTACGAGTTCGACACACCGCCACGTTCGGAGTACGGTGACAACGAATTTGTGCCGGTTACAATTCTACGTTATGCGCCCACAAATACCGAATCAGCTTCGGTTATGTCGCCGCCCTTACTCCCGCCCTCGCCTTTGAGTTCCTGCTCCAGTGCACCTGCTTCACCAGCTTGTTCTTCGCCTGCAAATTCGGCCATTATGTCTCCTGATCTTTCTCTTGTAAAAATGGAATCAAATGCATACGACGCACGGGATCATGAGACGCTACGAGGGGCGCTTGAAGATACATCTTTCCAACGAAGGTATTTATGCTGATTTTATAGATGTATCGATAAATCGATGATGTGAATATGCAAGATTGAAATCACATTAAGGAAGTTTTTTCTTAATCAAATCAGCTGAGGACTTCCCAGTTTACTATGTTTAAAAAATCAAATCATTTCCGAATCGATGACGTCATCGAACAATTGCTTTTATATCGCTAATCATGGGACTTGCTGTGCAAATGTTGTTCTGCAACATCCACGTAAAGAAGACGATTTTTTGTGATCATTATTTTTAAAATTATTTTTTGTAAATAATTTGGAGTTTGTTCTTTAATAGTGAGTAAAGAATCGAACGAAAATTTAATAACATTTTTATAATTTGTTTGATCATAGTTTTTTCCCATTTGTGATCTTAACGACAATTTTAAAAAACTTTTCGAAATCAAGAGTATTTGTTTTCAAGATTGAATTTGCGCCCACTGTCGTTGGAAGCGTTGTGGCCTTCGACAGGCAAACAAGATCGTGACGAAATTGCACAAGAAGAATTAGATGGAAACATGGATTTTTTGCACATGGATCTCGATTTTGATGGATTGGAACAATTAGACGTTGAGGAAGATTTACGCCCAGTTTTGTCAATGGCTTTGGAGCAGGTTAAGAAGGATGTCATGGCCACTTGCTCTCTGCTCAATATTTCTCCAGGTAAATTAGGATTCTAATAAATGAAATTTATTTAGCATTTGGTTACAAATCTGCGAGATTTCTAATATTTGCATCGATTTTTAACAAATAGATCCATGTGCTTGGAGCGTGGAGCAATCTCGATCGTGGTTAAAATGGACTGCAGCGCAATTTTCCCTTCCTGCTCCTTGTGAATCAAATTTCAATGAGGATGGATCGGCTCTAACTCAATTGCCAGAACACGTATTCGTAGCCAGAGAACCTCAGGTTAGTCTTTGAATTTTATGATATCTTTTTTAATTATATCTAATTTGCAAATAGATTTTAAAACGAAAGTTTAAATTAAATAAATAAAGATATGCTTAAGTTTACATCTGCGATTTACTTGATTCTATATTTTGTAAACAGATACATTTTTTTTTAATTTCATACATACATAGATTTTATTGATAGATTTCACTTAATATTAAATTTTTAATTGAGTCATTTTAATTTCTTAATAATTATTTTAATAGTTATATTATCAACTTTGACTATGAGAATGAGAAATAATATAATTCATGATACGTTTGAGCAAGTTTAGATGTCACATTTAGATATTTCTCTCAAATCCAATTTTTATTTAATATTATTTTATAAAATTTATATAACCTCATAAGAATTGAATCTTAAGCTCTGTTCTGGTTTACGATTCAAATCGAGGTTTGAATTTTTAAATTTTGGTGTTGGCGTTAAATTAGTTTTTGTAGCAATAATTTGAGGAGATAAAACATATCTGACCTATACCATATGTCATATACAAGATTGATTGTAAACAAGTTAATAACGATAAGAAAATTGTTTTCGTAGTCGGGTAGTATACTGTATGCCCAACTTGAGATATGGAAAGCAGCCAGATTGGAACAATGTTTGCAGTGCGGATCTGAAGGTGAGATAATCTTTTTTTTAATTATTTTTTTTAAACATAGATTGTTAAATTTCTTATAAATTAAATCACAGATATTATGAGTTTATATATTGAATATTTTTATGGAAATTTTAAAATATCAACACAATACGAAATATCGAGTAGTTCATTCCATAACTAGTGGAACTTTTCGTGACGTAAAATTTTGATTTTTTTGATAATTTTGAAATTTTCAAAATTTTGAATTTTTCAAACCGTTTTAGAGACGGAATATTAAAGCGCCGCGTTGCAGTCTAATGGTTGAACTTACAAATCTTGATACAGAACCCCTAAGAATGTAAAAAAAAGCAAGTGGGGCGCATGGCATCGTGCCTTAAGGCAAATTGCTGGTAATTCCTGTACCAAAAATTATTTTTTTTTTTTAAAAAAATAACATTTTTGAAAAAAAATTACTCTGAAAAAATTAGATTTTTGAGGAACTATAAATTTTTGAAAAAATTTACTTTTTTTGGAAAAAGACTTTTTGAAAAAAAAAAAATAATTTGAAATATTTTGGAAGTTTCAAAGCAATCGTACTGCTATAACTGCATAGAGACGAAATATCAAAGCGCGTAAGCGCCGCGTCGCCGTCTAACGGATAAACATTGGTACGGAAACCATAGAAATGTAAACAAAATTTATACTTATTATTAAAATCTCTATAAAATATCTGATAATTTGATGTGCATATGTCTAATAATCATTTTTGACCGCCAAATGGCCTTTTTTTTTACTTTTTTTACTAGACCTCGGAAACGCTAGACCTGCCTTCAAGAAAATTTGATCAGTTTTTCATCTTGTTAATACAAGTAAAATTTTTTTTGAATTATTCAAATCGGACGCTCCGTTCTCTTAAAAACTGAGTTAAGTTTTTGGCCCTTTTTGCCCCATATCTTCAGAACGGCTAGACCTGCCTTCGCCAAAAACTAATCAGCACGTCTCTTTATCAATACAAATCGAATGTTTTTTGAATTATTCAAATCGCTTCATCCGTGTTCCCGAAATCGTTTACGAAAATTTGTATCCGTACACACACGTACACACACACACACACATACACACACATACATCCATTTTTTCTAAGGTATGCCAAAATGCTCAGAAGGTTTTAAAACGTAAAGATATATAAAAAATTTCATTTCCGATTTTAAAGTTAAAATCATACTTATTATTAATCTGATCTCCGAAACCGCTGGACCTGCCTTTGAAAAATTTTAATCATTTTTCATTCAGTCAATCAAGTAAATAGTTTTTCGAATCATTCAAATCTGTCCTTTCAAAAACTGAATTGCTGTTTTTGCACTATTTGGACCGTTCCTTCAAAAAGGCTAAACCTGTCCCTGCCAAAACCTAACTAGCACGTCTTCCTATCAATGGGAATTGATTTTTTTGAATAATTCAAATCGATTACTCTGTCCCCACGAAATTGTGTGTCGACGAAAAATTGTATCCGCACATACATCCATATGCTTATGTTAATATATGTTTATACATTTTCAATAAATGTTTGAGTAGTTACTACCAGCAATGTCTGCCGCATATATGAATATGAATTCTTTACAATATAATTTTAATTACTCCAGAGGAAAAAAAGTTAATGTGAAACTAAAACGACTGAAACGTTAAAAATATTAATCAATCCTGAAATTTATATTTTTCAATTTCTGTTTTTTATTGAAATTTTATTTATGTAGATTGGTAAAAAAATGTTTCAGTTTTCTATCAACAATGTTAGTTAGTCGCATATATATAAACATGAATTCTTTGCAATATAATTTTAATTATTCCAGAGAAAACAATTTTAATGACAATCTAAAACGACTAAAACGAATAAAATATCAATCGATCCTGAAGTTTAGCTTATATATTTTTTTATTCTCTGAATTTTATTAGCATCGTGATGCGATGCACGCGTGTACGATGCTTTCTTCAACCTACTTTTACTACGACGCGCGGCTAACATTTATAATGAGTGTGAAACACTTGATGTATACCATATTAGAAGATGAATAATTAGTTTGCAAATATTTATAATTACAGTATTTTACTAACCACACAAAATAAACTTTTGCTAACATAACGGTAGAGTTTTAAGACTTATTTGCTAAAATGGGAATGGGCATTTGATCTGTTTTCGAACATTATTAATATATTTAAAAATCACATTTAATTAGAACTTGTTTAATACATTAACTTTCCGTAGGCTAAGTTATAGTAATCGCAAAAAATCGAAATGAAAATGAAAAGAAATATATCCTCAGTTGGATTTATTCAGCAACAACTCTTCTTAACGTAAACATTTTCAAGTGTTTTGTTACTGATAGTTACTATATATTTCATTTAAAACAATTGTTATTAATCATTGATCACACGATGCCATGCACCACTAGTTAACTTCCCGAAGGAGAAGTTTATGTATTCATCAAAAATCCGGTTCGCTAATTTCATGTTTTCTCGACGTTTCAAGCCATTCTGAATCGAATGAGACTAAACTTGGAAAAAGTAATGGGTGTGTGTGCCTAGGGCTAGCTCACATACTGTGTATGTGAATAGATTTTTTGCCGTAAATTGACGTTTACTCAAAAACGGCTGGATTGATTTCAAAAATTTAAAAGCCATTCTATGTATCTCGATGAGAATTAGCGTTTACCAAATTTGCGCTAGGATCAGCCAAGCCGCTTCTTTGTAAATCGCAGAAAAGTGAAAAAATTTTCGTCCACATTTAAGCTCATACTATACCGAATGGATTTTAAAAAAAATCAAAAACTGTTCGACAGATATTAGTTGGGAATGAGACTGATTAGTTTTAGGTGAACATCTACCGAGCCGTTTTCTTGTAATTAACTTTGAAAAAAAATTTAACCGATTTTTATGGAACTTTTTTTTGCGATATATATCATGGTCTTATAGAACTTACTGAAATATTAAGGTATTACGACAAGTAGTTTAATTTCAAAAAATCATCAAAGTTTGAGAACATGATTAGTTTTTTTTTTGTAAGATGACCATATTTTTTTTGCATGAAATCCGGGATGGATTATAATGAGTTAGAGAGCGGGGGAAGGGGGGGTGTTGGTGAGCTAAAAATTTATATGCACATTTTAAAATCAAATTTTCTAGTTGAAATATATTGAAAAAAATATTGGCAATCAAAACATTTTTAAAAATCGGGGACAAATATTGCTTTTAGAAAAAAACCGGGACGCAAGGCGAAAAATCCGGACTGTCCCGGCCATTCCGGGACGTATGGTCACCTTATTTTTTGACGTTTGTTAAAATTAAAATTAGACGATTTACTTGGTATAACGATAGAGTACCTGGTGTTCGTTCGTTTGTAATTATGTGTAATGAATCCACTCGGAATACTTTTAATCACTAATAATTTAATTTAGTTTTTATTGATTAAGTCGATTATTTACACATATCGGGAAGTTCATGTAACTTTCCTCAAGGCAAAATACCAATACCAACTAGTTTTTTTCTTTATTTATCTGTTAAATAATAATTTGCTTTCCATATGAAATTATATATAGGTGTTTGCGTATTTGTATATTCAATTATTAATTATTCGCAGCCGAGGATGAAGAACCTCCATCCCTAACAATGCCCTGCGATACTGACGACGTTTTGGACACAACGAACTTATCTGGTAGGTCTGCACCCTCGCCTGCACCTTCTACCAACGGAAACGGTACCGGTACTCAAAGACAAGGTAGTTCACATATTCACCTTTGGCAATTTTTAAAAGAACTTCTAGCGGGTCCTCAGACCCACGGATCGGCTATTCGCTGGATCGATAGAAGCCGTGGAGTCTTCAAAATAGAAGATTCGGTCCGAGTCGCCAGACTTTGGGGAAAACGTAAAAACAGGCCTGCTATGAACTATGATAAATTATCCAGATCGATAAGACAATATTACAAAAAAGGCATTATGAAAAAAACAGAACGCAGTCAAAGACTCGTTTATCAGTTTTGTCATCCATACTGTTTGTAAGTTTTTTTTTTATTGCGGTATTTTCTTGCCAATTTTCTTGTATGAAAATCAGCAATGAATGTACAAATGCTCTCCCGTTTTATTTATCGTACATTATCATGTGCACGATATTAAATATTTTGTATCAACAAAAAGGTAATTTTTTGTTGATCTATAAGTGTATGTATAACAATACAATATTTATTTCTTAAGATAATTATATTTTATGTATATATTTTGTGCTTACCAGCTATTAGTTGTCGATCGCTTGATTGACTTCGACTGCTGGTGATCTTTGGTCCCATATATCTATGATATATTATGAGAGTATGTTCTATGAACGGTTGTTATAGATATTTAAGGAAATTTACTAGGATAAAAAATTTAAACATAAATTATTTCTCGATCGGCGCGCGTTTTGTAGAAATTAAAAAGTTTTTAATATCTATAAAACTTTTTTTATATATTAATTTTAATTTTATTCTAGTTTAAGTTCTATATTATATTTATATTTAAATTTATTTTAGTTTTAAATGACGGATGACACTATAGTCATTATCACCTAAATTTTTACTTAGCATTGTAAATATCATATATTTTATTATTCGTAATTTAATAATACCTACTATATATCATAATTTGAAGTTTGTTGAAATTAGTTAATGTAATTTATTTAGTGTAAATATGTATTGGTATAATAATAAGAGCTAATTTGAGATAAGAGCTCATCTCAAATTACTTCTTGTGAACTGATACATCGAACTGTTAATCTATTTATTAGATATACCTATTTTTGCGTAGTAAGTAATATATACCTAGTAAGTAATATATCGTAAAGTTAAATCTAGATAACTAAGCCATTGTTTTTAAACTATTTTTCTATAAATATTAATCACTATATTTTTTAATCGTTTTGATGTGAATTTTATTCTTCGTTTCTTAATTAAATACATTATAATTGATTACATTCAAAATATGGTTTTGGGTTTCTTAAATAAATTAACTTTACTCCAAAAATTATCTTTTTATTTTTTTTCAGTTCTTAAGGGTCTATATGCCTAAAATTTAATCTTTACTTTGTCATTCTCTTTTAGCTTGCTGTACCTATACCACTTGTTGAATCTCATAGTATTTTATATTTTATAATAATTGATTTAAGTAATAACAGTATGACGTGCGGTTTTGACAAAAATTATAATTAATTCAAAGAATTTCTCGACATTTCTTTCATTTTTTTCTACTATTTTCTACTATTGCTTTCTAATTCTATGTCCTAGACAATATTAGAATACCCCGTGTTCTATGTGTTACAAAGACATGATGGAATTTGTGGTACCAACTTTTTGACTCACATTTTATATTTTCTAATTATGTAAATCCTATTATTTTGTTTTATTTCTTCTTATACCTAAATTTGATATGGCTCGAAACAATTCAAAACAAAGTTAATTTATTATTACCTAGCAACAGTAATTTAATGCAAATGTCAAATTCCAGTGAAATTATTCCTACGATACTCGATCTAAATATGAAAAATTCAACACATAAAATGTATAGCTGAATTTTAATCAAAATGACTGAAATTATAAAAACATCACCTTCAGAAGAAACGACATTGCACAACAGGGGATACAAACTTACTAAGAAACTGGGCGAAGGTTCCTACGCAAAAGTATATTTGGGCGAATTCAAACCGACTCAGAATCCGATAAGAAATATCAACTTGCTTGCAAAATAGTTGACACTACTAAAGCGCCGAAGGATTTTGTTAAGAAGTTTTTACCAAGGGAGTTGGAAATTTTGATCAAACTGAATCATCCTCATGTAGTGCACGTACACAGTATCTTCCAAAGAAGGGCCAAATATTATATTTTTATGCGATTTGCTGAGAATGGCGACCTGTTAGAGTTTGTTCTAAAGAATGGGAGTGTAGCTGAAAATCAAGCTCGGGTATGGTTAAGGTAAATATAATGTTTTTTATTATTTTATTTTAATGGACAATTTTAGCATAGATCTGTTAAAATAAATATAAAGCAGTTTGTATTGTATTTACACTTGTAGGCCGATTGACCATTTCTTACTGAGTCTGTATATGCTGTTCATTTCGTTGATGATTCACATTTATGCGACCAATTTGTTTTTGTTTAATTTTAATTTTATTGTGCAATCTGTATATTTAATTACATTTAGCAGGACATACTGCTAACATAATTTTACTATATTTATATACAGAAATTGTAATTAATAATAATTATTATTACAATTTCTGTAATAGAGCGAGTATTTATATCGGTGCAGCAATGTCGGGTGAGGGCTATTTTCACTTGGAAACATATTACTATCTATATTTTTAAATGAAAATCGTTGTCACTGCTGCCTGACAACAGGCTGCTCGAAGTGGGTATCGAACCCGGTACCTCTGATTCAGGTCCCATCGCTCTTAACCGCTTACCTACGGGCGAGCCCAATTTATCTATATAACATCGAATAAATCTATAAAAACCCCTGATATGATAATGATATTTCATCATTAGCGATATTATACAAACTTTTTGCTTCATTTTTCTTACTTGTTTTCTTTTTTAGCATTTTTCTTCTTGTAGATAGTGGGAATATTTTTTACTTATATTACAACTATCAATCATTATTGAAAATAAATTAAAATTGTTTTAATTAAATTTAAGTTATTCGTAGTTCAATAACATAGCCTATGGGTTGCTTATATTAACTTTTTTTATCTAGCTGTCTATCTTTTTTCACGAACGTGTAAATAATATCTTTCATTCAGAGACACTTCTGACTTACAGACTTTGATAAATTATAGAAATACAGAGAAATAAATAAAAAATAAAAGATATGATTGGTTTATATATGTTTGTGATGTATATATTTATTTATTTATTAATTTTATATACTTATCGTTAGACAGGTGGCATTGGCGATTCAATATCTGCACGAGATGGAAATAGCTCACAGAGATTTAAAATGTGAAAATATTTTACTAACGAATAATTTCAATGTAAAAGTTGCGGATTTTGGATTCGCCCGATATGTCATGGACTTCCGGACGAAGAGGCTTCTGTTAAGTGAAACGTATTGTGGATCATTGTCTTATGCTGCCCCTGAAATTCTGAAAGGCACTCCGTACAACCCAAAAATAGCAGATTTGTGGTCACTCGGAGTTGTATTGTACATTATGCTCAATAAAGCAATGCCATTTGATGACACCAATATTAAAGTAAGTATTACTCAATTAAGAGCAACATTGTTTTAACATCCCGTAGGGTGAGTTGTGGTAATCGCAAAAAATCGAAAATGAAATTTTTATATATCTTAACGTTTCAGAGGTTTTTAAACATTTTGGCATACCTTAGACAAAATGGATGTATGTGTGTATGTATGTGTTTGTCTCTTGTCTGTATGTGTGTGTGTGCGGATACAAATTTTTCGTCGACGATTTCGGGAACACCGATCAACCGATTTGAATAATTCAAAAAATATTTGATTCATATTAATAAGGAGACGACCTGATTAGTTTTGGTGAAGGCAGGTCTAGCCGTTCCGAAGATACGGGGCAAAAAAGCCAAAACGGTAACTCTTTTTTTTAAGAGTACGGAGTGTCCGATTTTAACAATACAAAAATCATTTTATTTGTATTGACAAATTGAAAAACTGATTAAATTTTTGAGAAGGCAGGTCCAGCGGTTATGGACTCTCAATAAAATAACTTATAAAATGTCATTTCGCGGTCAAATATGTTTATTGGACATATGCACATCAAATTATCATCAATATTTTATAAAGTTTGTTAATAAAGAAATTTTGTTTTGGTTTATTAGTATGGTCTGATTAAAGCGCGTATGTTGTTTGAGAGACCATGAGACCATATACATAAGGAGCCGTCCATTATGAAAAATTTAGATATTTGAGAAATTTTAAAATTTTTGAAAAAAATTAACTTTGTTGAAAAATATGATTTTTTTTATATTCTAATTTTTTAGACTTTTTTTGAAAATTTTGATCATTTTTTTTATGCAATCGCTCTGCATATTTGGAGTCGAAAAATCAAAGCGCGTAGTCGTTTAACGTGTAAACATTGGTACGGAACCCATATAAATGTACACAAATTCGAACTTACAATCTTTATAAAATATCGGACAATACGATGTAATATGTCTAATTCTAATGTTCATTTTGACCCCTAAATGTCATTATTTTTTACTTTTTTTCTAGGATCTCCGGAGTCGCTAGACATCTTTACAAAAATTTTACCATCAGTTGTTCATTTCGAATACAAGTAATCTCCGTTATCTCAAAAACTGAACAACCATTTTTCGCACTTTTTGCCTGAATCTCATCCGAATCGGCTAGACCTGCCTTTGCCAAAACTAATCAGCACGTCTCCTTATCAATACGAATTGAATGTTTTTTGAATAATTGAAATCGGTTGAACCGTGTTCCTGAAATCGTCGACGAAAATTGGTATCCGCACGCATACACACATACATCCATTTTTTCTAAGTTATGCCAAAATGTTCAGAATCTTTGAAACGTAAAGATATATATAAAAAAAATTATTTTCGATCTTTTGCGATTACATTAACTTACCCTCCGGGAAGTTAAAGATGCGAATGAGTAAATAAACACAAAAATTTAATATATATATATATAATTATATATATATATTATATAACACCTAAGTCTGTTTTTACACGGTTTGAAAATAGAATATTTTTAATTTTTTACACGATTTTATTCCATTTAGCACGATTTGAAATTTTATGTACTTAAATTTTTTGTCAAATTTAATTTTTGCGAAGTATGTTCATATCACAAAAAAGTATTTATGAAAGAAAAAAGTCTGATAGTTTGCGAACACTAGCTTAAAGATTTAAGTGAATTCCCTTTTAGCGCGTACAAACGATTTTTACTGGTCAAAGCAAATGTGAATGGCACTAATTTAGGGGAATACCCTAAAATTCTTGTTTTTCACTAATTTTAATAGGTTTTAGAGATTAGAA